TGTGAATGGCTTGGTTTCGGTTTTAACCTAATCAAGATCTTCTATGCATTGAGTTACTATATTTCTCTAATATTTTGAATGAATAACACAGCAACTGTGCATCTCGTGGGCTAGACTAACAAAACATTAAACTACAACGTCACTTATAGCATCATCACTGCATCTCGTGCTCCACTGATGACGCACCTGACACACACCTAATATTCGATTGTACTATTTTTGCATTCAAATGCAAATGTTTATTTTAAATTCGACTAATATTCTTTTTTTTTTTTATTCACAATCTCCTCATCACAGGCAGGCACAGCGCTCATGTTCGTGTTTGTGTGTGTTGTCTGCATCACTCATAGCACGTGCCTATATCGTGCACTATATCGAACATTTTTAATATCATTATCGAAGAAGGTGTACCGTCGATAAATATCGATACCGTTTTATCACCCAGGTCTATCTCAACTTATGGTTAGAAGCATATTTTCTTGTTGTTTACGACATATGGAAGTAAACAGCTTAGCTAAATGAGCAAAAAAAGAACTACAATCTGTTTTTCATTGAATTGGATCATCGAAGATCAGCAGCAGCAAAGACATTGGTTAATAAAATGGGATTAAATACATGAAGGATATTTAGGCCTATGTAACATTTAATTATTGCAGGTTTGCATCATATTCAGAGTTAGCTTTTCACTGTTTTTATTCATTTTGAGTAATATTGAATCTGTTTTTGTGCAAGTGAGATTAGTAAATGCGTTCAAATTTAGTCTAGAAATATAGTAACCATCATGTTTACACAGCGCACACAACGCCTCTGCACTTTTTTTCACAGTCTGAAAAGCAAAAAAGAAAACCAGATCCAAACTGCTGTTTGGATGTTACATGTATAACATCATACAAAATAGGGCTGCACGATTAATCAAAATTAAATCACAAAGGTGATAAATCGCAATTAGGCAGAAACTGTGATTGTCATGCGTATCTTTCAGTGAAGCACAGTTCTGTGATCAGCAGTAAATCTCCATCCGAAGGCCAGAGGGCACTCTCACGCGGAAAGTCCAAATACGCCCCGAAGAAGAAACCCAGGAAATCCCTATAGTGGTTGCTGAATAAACAGAAGATTTAAATGCTTTCATTGATTCAACATGACTAATAAACACACGACTATGACAATATATGGTTTATCTGAGTTTGTCTTATAATTTTTATTATAATAAAGTATATAATATTGCAATGCTAATCGACATAGCCCTTATCACTGCTTAGAATACTATGAAATATGTTGCGTGCCTTATTCTGTGTAAGAAGCCACATAATCTCACAGAAGGATTTATTTCAAACACTCCGCAGAAGGATTTCTTCGATTTCATAATCGCTGCGATTACGAACGCGATTTTGCGTAGCTTGACAGTGAACTACGGCTCTGTGTAGTAAATGCCGCTCCATCTGAAAGTACGTGCTGGAGATTTACTACTAATCACAGAACCGGCTTTACTGACAAGATGCGCATGACAATCGCATTTGATTAATCGTGCAGCCCTAATATAAAATGCACAATATTCTCAGGAGTCAAGTCCAAATTCACCCACTTTTTACGCATATACCAACCTACACTTAATGTCATCACTAGGGTTGCATAAAGGAGGAAAATTTCCAGTGAAGTTTGGAAAGATATTTTGGAAACTTTCCAGTAGGGCTGCACGATTAATCGAATGCGATTGTCATGCGCATTTTGTTAGTAAAGCAGGTTCTGTAATCAGCACTAAATCATCATCTCGTGCTTTCAGATGGAGCAGCATTTACTACACAGAGCCGTAGTTCACTGACAAGTTACGAAAAAATAAATCGCAGAAGATTTTATTGCGCGATTATGAAATCGAAGAAATCGTTCGCGATAATGACAGCTGTTTGCATAGCTTTTCAGTGAACTACGGCTCTGTGTAGTAAATGCTGCTCCATCTGAAAGCACGTGAAAATACCACATTTATTAATATATTTTTACTCCAAACTCACTTCATAACGTCAGTCGAGTATTTGAAATAAATCCTTCTGTGAGATGATGTGGCTTCTTACACAGAATAAAGCACACAACATATTTCATAGTATTCTAAGCAGTGATAAAGGCATTGCATTATAAATATAATTTATTTTAATGAAAATTATAATAATAACAACTCAGATAAAACATATATTGTCATAATCGTGTGTTTATTAGTCACGTTGAATCAATAAAAGCAGTTAAATCTTCTGTTTATTTTGTTGAAAATATAAACACTTTACAGTCAAAACATTTGAAATACTTGGTTTAAAGTGATCTTTGTTGAAAATGAAGATGGTGTTATTGGGACTCTTAATGGAATATGATAGTGCATGTGATTCTTGACACCTGAGAAGAGCTGATTAATGCATCTCTATACAGAAATAAACACAACTGAAGCTGGAGAGAAGAAATGCTCGTGCAGTATTTGAGATGCACAGATACAGATCTAATGAATGACATTCGGACACATTAAGTGTCGCTTAAGTGAACCGGTACTTCTGTTACTTAAATGATATGTGAAAGTTCACCGGGCGAGCAGGTGCCTGTACCTGTAAATGAGCTGATCAGAAACTGAAATCTGGATATTTCAAGTGTTGGTAAGTGCTGATTTTGATGCAGAAAACGCTTTGTTTGTGCTGTTTTATTGTCAGATGGTTAAAGTTGAGCCTCGTGTGTTCAGCTCAGAGTAAAGGAGATCTAAAGTTTGCACAAAAGCAGAGGCGAGAGTGTCCTGTTTTCATGGGATGGTTAACCATGCGACACATCACAGCGTGCGGTCCTTGTGGTTTGAGTTTTGCACCGTCTCGTGTGACGCAGACGACTCAAATGAGCTCAATCAAACAGTTTGGATGAACTGTATATTATTAAAAGGTCACATTGGGTTGTCTTCTGTATTTCTGATTTGTAGTTGGAATCAAAGAATACTAAAATAATCCATTTATATATCTACACTTCATATTTAGTGTGATATATAATATACATCTATACACAACAGTTAATTGAAATATATCTTTAGAATCATTGTCCATACATGTCATGAGTGATGGCACGCTGGCACGCTGGCACTGACCCGTCTGCTGCTGTGGGCTACAGTAGATGGATACACAAGCCTCAGTGTTTCTGTGCTCTGAGGGCTTTTATTTGGCCTCTGGTTGAATTCTGAACTCTAATGAAGTGACCTAATGATACTGTACAGATCTGTGGTCTGTGATGAAAGAAAATCTGCTGGATTCTTTGTCCCGTATGCAGGGACAGGCTCGCTTTTGACACTTGTTGTCTGGGATGTAATATAGATTTCAGTTATAAGCTGAGCATTCAATCTGTTTTCTGGCGGCTGGATTTGTTCGGTTATGTGATCTTTTTGAGAGGCTTGAGACTGATTGATATGAATGTCTGTCTTCAGAATCAAAATGCGGCTTGTCCACTGCTAGTAAGTAGGGCTGCACGATTAATCGGATGCGATTGTCATGCGCATTTTGTCAGTAATGCCGGTTCTGTAATCAGCAGGAAATCATCATCACGTGCTTTCAGATGGAGCAGCATTTACTACACAGAGCCGTAGTTCACTGAAAAGCTATGCAAACAGCTGTCATTATCGCGAACGATTTCTTCGATTTCATAATCGCGCAATAAAATCTTCTGCGATTTATTTTTTCGTAACTTGTCAGTGAACTACGGCTCTGTGTAGTAAATGCTGCTCCATCTGAAAGCACGTGAAAATACCACATTTATTAATATATTTTTACTCCAAACTCACTTCATAACGTCAGTCGAGTATTTGAAATAAATCCTTCTGTGAGATGATGTGGCTTCTTACACAGAATAAAGCACACAACATATTTCATAGTATTCTAAGCAGTGATAAAGGCATTGCATTATAAATATAATTTATTTTAATGAAAATTATAATAATAACAGCTCAGATAAACCATATATTGTCATAATCGTGTGTTTATTAGTCACGTTGAATCAATAAAAGCAGTTAAATCTTCTGTTTATCCAGCTACCGCTATAGGCATTTCCTGGGTTTCTTCTGCGAGGTGTATTTGGAGTTTCTGCACGAGAGCGCCCTCTGGCCTTCGGATGGAGATTTACTGCTGATCACAGAACTGTGCTTCACTGAAAGATATGCATGACAATCACAGTTTCTGCCTAATTGCGATTTATCGCCTTTGTGATTTAATTTCGATTAATCGTGCAGCCCTACTTTCAATATACTGCAAGGTATATTGACCACACACGGTCTTAAAAAGTCGATCAGCTCTCAACAGCTGCAAAACCTTGCCTACGAACCAGGCAAACACTAAAACACCCAAGTAACTTACCTTTCTGGCAATGGTTGGAGGTCCAGCATCTGTAATTGTCATTGCTGTTGAAGTTTGTCTTGACACACAGAGGGTTGTCCTCCATGATTCCCGGGCAAACATCGCCGCACTCCTTGGACTGCTTATTTCCATCAATGAAATTGTTAATTTCAGCATCCATAATGAGAGACCAGTCCACAGAATCCAGGTAGCAGAGCTCGGGATTCTTCTCGATTCGTATCGCGCCCCTCGTGATGTTCCGCAGGTTGTAAAGGCCGATGTCCTTCAGGCTGGTTAACTCAAATATGACCAGGGCGTAGTTGTAGAACAAGTTACGGCCCCGGATCACGGCGAGGTTTGGAAAGAGGGTGCTGAGGCTATCCAGCCCAGATACGCGGAAGAGGAGAAGGTAATCCGTAATCATGGTCAGTTTGGGGAAACTGAGGGTGCGGAAAACCTCCTGGTTGTTATTGTTTTTGCTTCCAATGAGGAGGATCTGCAGGTGTCCCTCAACCACCGTACAGTTCTCCAGCCGCTTGAAATTACTGATGTCATTACCAATGTCAATGCCTGGACCACAGACTGGAAGAAGGAAAACAGAAATAATCACATGATAATCAATATTCAACAGTCACAGCTTGGTAGCAAGAGATCATTAAAAAAAATTTGACCTTAAGTATTTGAATTAATAGTTTGATTATCCAATGTTATTTGAGTTCAAAAAGTGATCTTTTCAATGTCTCAGTGAATAAAATTTTTGGACCATACAATAAAATTCAATGGGGTTCAATGTTGTTTGGACTAGGGCTGCACGATAAATCAAAATGGAATCGAAATCGCGATTCGACAGAAGCTGCGATTGTCATGCGTATCTTTCAGTGAAGCACGGTTCTGTGATGAGCAGTAAATCTCCATCCAAAGGCCAGAGGGCGCTCTCGCGCTGAAACTCCAAATACACCTCGCAGAAGAAACCCAGGAAATGCCTATTGCTGCAGCTGAATAAACAGAAGATTCAACTGCTTCCATTGATTCAACGCGACAGATAAACCAAATATTGTCATAATCGTGTGTTTATTAGAGTTATTATTATTATAATTTTCTTTAAAATAAAAATATTATTATTATAATTTTCTTTAAAATAAAAATAAATTATCACTGCTTAGAATACTATGAAATATGTTGCGTGCCTTATTCTGTGTTTAAGCCACATCATCTCACAGAAGGATTTATTTCAAACACTTGACTGACGTTATGAAATGAGTTTGGAGTAAAAATATGTTATTGAATGTGGTATTTTCACATGCTTTCAGATGGAGCAGCATTTACTGCACAGAGCCGTAGTTCACTGAGAAGCTATGCAAACAGCTGTCCTTATCGCGAACAAAATCGTCTGCGATTTTTTTTGCGTAACTTGTCAGTGAACTACGGCTCTGTGTAGTAAATGCTGCTCCATCTGAAAGCACGTGATGATGATTTACTGCTGATTACAGAACCGGCTTTACTAACAAAATGCACATGACAATCGCATTCGATTAATCGTGCAGCCCAAGTTTGGACCCCAACATTCTTCAAAATATCTTCTTTTGTGAATATAGGCTAGGTTTAAACAACTTGATGATGAGTACATTTACACAACAATATAGAACGAGCACTAAAAATAGGGCTCTCATGAAATTTGGCAGACAATTAATTGTCTAAAAATAGTCACGTTATTGCGATTAATTGTCAGTTTTAGGGCTTTGGCGATTAATTGTATGTTTTTTTTATGGCTTTCATTATATAATTGTGATTAATTTAAGGGTTCAGTAAATAATTATGATGTTATCTTTTAATCTTTTTTGAGTTATTATTTTGCAGTGTAAGATTACATAGAGTATTCCAAATTCTAATAATCGGCCAATACAGATCCAACACCAGCGCTATTTTCTTTTCTACACCACTACAGAATATCAATACTGTGTTTGTGGAATTAATGGTCACTCTTTTTTAAACCCATTTTTAAACACAATCCACTAAATACTCACTTCCTCATTACAGAGAAAAACTACATTTGAATAAAAATATATAAGCTATGAAATTAAACTATATTAAACAATATCTTAAAAAAAAGTATTTGGTGCACATTATACAATTTAAACAGGTTTATTCTGTTAACTATTTGTATTCTAACAAAATACATTCATGAAAGTAAGATAGAAATCATGAGAAAAAGAAAGGCTTCCAATAATCTTTCTGTGTGCAAAACTTTGATAATGTGAAACGCTTCAAATGGAGCGGCACAAAGCTCTTATGCACAAACAGGGTGCAGAATGGTGCACTTGAAGCAACATAAGTCACAGCGCGCTGCACTCCATACGGTACAAATAAAGAGAAGAGAAATGAGAGAGAAATTAACTCCAGCAATATGTCATTTTATGCGAATCCCCAGACCTTCATCTACACATCAAGTATTATAATGGGAATATATCATCTTGGAGAGAGAGTTTTACCGTGCTGACTGTCATAACTGAACGTGACGTGCTGTTTGAATGCTGAGCGGAGAATGACTGACAGCTGCAGCACAAGGAAGATCAATTTCTGTAAACTTAAATTTAACAATGTAAATATAATTCTGTCCCTCACATTAAGATATGGAATGGCTTCAGATGATATAGGCTATACAGTGCATGAAAAGCAAACTGGTGCTCTTCCGTGTCTTTTGGTGTATGACTCCCCCCTTGTGCCATATAGAAAGCACAATAATCGGTTAGATCAAATAATCGCAATTAGACGGTTATTTAATTATCGCGACAGGCCATTTACTAACTGTCAACCCAAGCAGACATATGAAAAGTTTCACCCAAATGCAGTTTTTCTTCTGCCAGTGACACACTGCCATGAGGGAGCTTTTATAAGACAAATTTTTGCGACAGGTATCCTGAGACAGACATCTCTGCTTTCACTTACCACCCATTAAGTTGTTTATTTTCCACAGCGCAATTTGCCCACAAGCTAATCGCAAAGAAAGATCCTGAAACATTAAGGCTGAGCTGAAAAATGAATCCTGGAAAATGCAGGAAGATAATTATAGAGCTCTTGAATTATAGATCCTATGTGAAACTTTAAAAGATAACATTACCTAAAAGTTTATAACCCTTTAAATCTTAGATACCACTCTCAGAGGGAAAAGGCCTGCTCCTTCCTCTTGAAGGTAATCTTTTCTTTTAAAGCCATCCTTAAATTCTGATTTTAACAAGTATGCACTAGTGTATTATTATCCATTATGCTAGAAAAAAATAGAATTAAACTATGGCAAAAACAAGCATCTTTCACCGCCCTGGAAGACAGACAGCACCCAAGCCTGTCTGCGAACTCTTAACATTTTCACACTACTGAGTAAACAGTGCTATCTTTATTGCTTTGATGGCGCTCCAAATCTCATGTTTACATTTGATAACCCAATTCCAGCCTGCCAATGCGAACTCTCGTAGGTAGCAGAGTGAAAGCGTTTGGAAATTAGGTCATAAACTGATGTCATTGTTTAGAAATGAAGCAGAAAAAAACCTTAACCCAAGCTAGTAAATCCTAACACTTCAGACTCTACAACAAAACAGATTGCGACAGAGCGCTTTCATATGAAAACAGAACCACAAAACAAGACAACCTAACAGAGCTAACAGAGAGTCAGACAGTTGCCTCAACTCATCATTTCAGTGTTGAAATCAAATGTTTGCAAGCATCTTGCATGCATAACAAATACATTTCTAGTACTATTGTTTACATTTTTATATCCTTATCAAATGTTTTAATATGTACTTAAAAAATATTTCAACTCAAACATCAAACTTTTAAAAATACAAAATCATATTAGTTAAATCACAAATGGTGAATTTTAAATATTCAATACAAAATTGGATTTAGAAAAAAATATTACAGGTGTTTCTTCATATTTATCTTTCTCCAGAATATTGGGAATATTGCTTTAATTTGGAATCAATTAATACATTTTCATCAGGACCACTTTTAGTCTTTTGTGAAATCCCTTAAGTTTTTTATGACATGATCCTCCAAGAAGTGACCCTTTTTGGAAACGAAACAACAGCACAAACATTAATATGAACAATTTAACTGCTGAATTATTTATGTGATTCCATGATGTTAGATAATATTAAAAAAAACATCAAAAATTCACTTCAAACTGACAAGCAAATGTAAGCTAACACTCAACAAATATTTTCCTTCTAAGATAAAGAGAAACACACAAACTGCTTTAAACCAACCAAAAATGCAGATCAACAAATAAGCCAATGGTTTGGTCTCCAGTTAAGTCAACCAGTTAACCTGAGCCACATTTATACCCCACTGGGAATCTTTAACCATCTTTTGCCAAGAGAGACAGGTTATACTTAGGATTTCCACTGAGATCCTCCTCTGCCTCACTACCCTGCAACCGCTGAGGTTAACAGTAAAACCCAATTACACAGACTTCACAAACTCCTCACTCTTCCAATCAACAGAAACCAGTCTGTTTTGCTAGAGCGGGTGTTTTTACATGTTCTATTTTAAAAACACAGATTTTTCCTCTCTCTCTTGATGAATCGGGGGGTCTTATTTGCAGTTTACTTGGAAACATGGAAATTTTATGGTGGTCAAACATGAAGAGAAGCAAAAAATTTTGTTTTTTTTTTGTAAGAACTTCCCAAGATTTTAAAGAGGCAGAATAATGAATAGCCTACTAAATATCTTGAATGTTTTTCACATACGCATGGGCCAGTTTTAGGATTATTAAAGAACAAAGGACAGTTTTGCATGGAAAAACAAAGGCAATTTGCATTCCCCATGTGGGTTAAACTAATATTAATAATGACTCATTTCCAGTATGTTTGCATGCCTTGGTTAATATTCCAAGGAAACCATGTAAACCCAACACAGCATCAACAATATGAGACACACAGTAACAAGTAAACAAACACGCCCCGCCACACCGAGCACATCAGTTTTATTCCAACATGTGTCATCATCTAAAATCACTTTCATTTACTGGCAACCACATCACAGCGTCCCAACGTATCCTACTAACCTAACAGTGACCGTCCAGCCCCTGATAGCAATCTCTCTAACTGTAATCACAATTATCAATACTATCTGTCGGTTACGTTAACCAAAGAAAACGGATAATAATCTGTGGCAAATCTTCAGCATTCAGTGTTAAAGTTTTTAACACTGAATGATTTATCAAATCTATGATGGACTGCATTTACATTAGAGCTGTGAGACTACTAAAGTTGTACATAAACTGTTCACAAAGATCAAACACTTGTAAAGTCATTCCTTGAGAACATGAGAAGGTCAAAACGTTAAACATTAAAGGGGTCATATGATGTGATTTAAATTTTTCCTTTCTCTTTGGAGTGTTACAAGCTCTTGGTGCATAAAGAAGATCTGTAAAGTTGCAAAGACTAAAGTCTCAAATCCAAAGAGATATTCTTTATAAAAGTTAAGAGTCAACCACGCCTACCTAAAACGGCTCGTTCTAACACCCCCCCACATATCTACGTCACAATGTGGAAAGATTTGCATAATGCCACCCAAATGTTCACGCAAAGAAAGAAGGCCTAACTTTTATTCTCGCTGTGGTATTGTTGTTGCCGCCATGTCGTGAAGACACTGTGTGTTTCGTTGTGAAAGCGAAACTACTTTGCTTGGCCTTCCAAACCAGAACGATATCCGCGAGGACGATAGTCCAGCCCGGGGTCGTCACATGTGGTTGCCGCAAGCCCGCCGGCCGCTCCTTCGTCGAATCCGCCAGCCGCGCCGGCCTCCGCTCATTCTAGCCCCCCGCCTCTGCTCACTCTAGCCCGCCGTGTGTGATATTGTGTTTCGTTGTAAAAGTCTTTGAACTGTTACAAACTACAAACGCTACTCTACACTGCTCAAAACTCGCGTTTGAATCATCAGTGGCAAATTCTTTAAATATAAAAAATTTACTTACAGTCTGAGAGTCAGAACAGCCGGCATTGTAGTCTACTCTACCAGGATCAGGAAACAGTCCTCCATAAAATGAGCTGCACACATCTGAATATTTGGGTTGAAGTGTTCTGGAACAGTGTTGTAAATACAACTTAACCACTGATTTGTAGTCGTGTCCTCTTTTGGAAGACCAAACAAAGTAGTTTCGCTTTCACAACGAATCACCAGAGGCGGACAAAGTACACAACTCCATTACTTAAGTGAAAGTACAGATACTGCTGGTCAAATATTACTCCATTACAAGTAAAAGTTGTAAAGACAGATTTTTACTTAAGTAAAAGTACAGAAGTACTTGCTTTTAAATGTACTTAAGTACCAAAAGTAAATTTCCTTTTTAATGTCAATGCACTGTTTTATTATTGTTGTATGTAATACTTGCAATACCTCTGAAGCAACTTACAAAACCCTAACAAAACAAAAAAAAATATTATAATTATTTAACACTCCTACCCACCCCCACAAAAGCAGGATGGTAGTGATCTCACACAGCTCTGGACACATCTATGTGTAACCATTCATCCACATTTGAACAGAGTGGACAGTAAAACTGCTGTAAATACAGACTGATAAGGAAGAAAATAAAAAAATCAAACCTGCTTTAAAACCCAGCAACACAACTGTAGCTGTATAGCTTTACAACAGCAACACTGCTTTAACAGCAAGACTTATTTAACATCAAAATAAAAATTTAAAAAATACTGTCTAATCGCTCTTGCTGTACTTTGATGTCACACACAGAATGGTCTGTGCACCTTTTGTGTTTTATCAGGAGATGCAAAACAGTTCTTCTGTGGCTTTATAGGTAATATTTTCACTTACACAATTTAGCAAAATCAGACAATATTGTGTCTAATATAAACCACAATATTAACTTCCTAAGAATTATTAACGTTTGGCAGACAGGTTTGAATAGGGATAAACAACACCAATGCTTTTAATATCTAGTCTAGTCTATTAAAAATCCTGTTGGTTTGTCACTTAAATTAACCATAGTGTCACCAAAATCTCCCATGCTGCTAACATGGTGGTGATAACTCAAATTTGACTTAGATACCTCTGCTAAACGTAGATCTGTACCTACAGGTGCACATAATGGCACTTGTGAACACAATTACAACCACTCTAGATGCCAACAGTAGCATTATTTAATAGATAGAGTGGTAAAATACCTCTGAAATTACTATTAGAAATAGCAGTGTTTGCACGACCAAACTTGACTTTGTTGTGTTCTTTGACTTTGCATAGCCAAAACACTCAACAGACACCCCTGTGATGCATAATATGCGCGTTTCCATTTCTTTTCGTTTAAGAAACATTTAAAGGGAATGAAAGCAGAAAAACATGCAATTAAAAGCAAACTAACAGGTTTAAAAACAGTTGGTCTGGATTTTGAGCCAGTTTTCCTGTCATACATTGCAAATGAAAGCTTAAAACACTTTGAAAACCAAATGAAAGTGAAGCTTTCTTAGACAAGCAACATGTATGATATGATGATCTAATCCAAATGCATCCATATCACTAGAATAACTTACTTTCTCCATGACAAAGGGTAGAGAGGACCAGGACCAGACCACAAAACAAGGTCCAATATCGCCTCTGTCTGCTAGACCTCATTCCGGTACAAAAACAAGGCAAACACTTGTTTTAAAAAATAAAGTAATTAAAAATATAACAAAGCAGGGGAGACAGCTCAACCCTTCAAAGTGGATGATGCTTTTTGTCAGTACAAAAAATATCATCAAAGTTGGTTTTTCCAGCTTGGTGTCTCCATATGGAGGGGGTGAAAACAAAAAAACAGATACACAGCAGCTGGAAATAATCAAACAAAACAAATTTCGTCCATCTTCGTGGTGTTTTTGCTGGGATAAATGACCCTCCAGACACCCCAGTGAGATTATCCAGCAGACCCAGCCCGCTTTGCCCTCACCATGAGGCGGATTCAACCGCACTGATGGCAGTGTTAGCATGACCAAACTTGACTTTGTTGTGTTCTTTGACTTTGCATAGCCAAAACACTCAACAGACACCCCTGTGATGCATAATATGTGCGTTTCCATTTCTTTTCGTTTAAGAAACATTTAAAGGGAATGAAAGCAGAAAAACATGCAATTAAAAGCAAACTAACAGGTTTAAAAACAGTTAGTCTGGATTTTGAGCCAGTTTTCCTGTCATACATTGCAAATGAAAGCTTAAAACACTTTGAAAACCAAATGAAAGTGAAGCTTTCTTAGACAAGCAACATGTATGATATGATGATCTAATCCAAATGCATCCATATCACTAGAATAACTTACTTTCTCCATGACACGCACAGACACGGTTTTAGGAAAACGATCATACTGTAAGTAGGTGCTTCTGACCTGGTATAGAAGTCTTAAAGAATAGTCCACTCAAAAATGAAGATTTGCTGAAAATGTACTTACTGATGCCACTCCATCGCTTTACATCTTGTGAAGTGAAAAGTTGTGCGTTTGTAAGAAACGAATCCATCATTAATACGTCTTAACTTCAAACCATTGCTTCAGGCTAAAATACAATACAGGAGTGGTGTGGATTACTTGTGGATTACTGTGAGCGCATCCAATAAATAAATAAATAATTGCATAAAATACGTGCATAATCATGAATATTTTCATCCTTCCACATTATGTTGTCCGTGACAATAATACTAACAGTAATAATTTTAAAATACATCTAAAATAAAACAAAATGAAAATAAATAAAGCAAATAAAAAAAATAAAAAAAAACTGCATAATCATGAATATTTTCAAAACTCCACATTATAGTGTCCATGAAAAGAATAATATCTTAAAAATACATATAAAATAAAACCAAATAAAATTACAGCAATTTAAAAAAAGATAAAAAGTCAAATTCTATGACTACACTAACCACGATCACAAACGGGGCACAAATTCTTGAGTATATTAGGTAGAGACAGCGGTCAGTAAGCTGAATGGGCATTATTCCTTTTGAGATGATCCAAAACCAATTCTTTTAGGCATAAAAATTTATAAATAGTACAATTAACTGCCTTCCGATACTGAAGATCCTCATTTAACCCTCTGGCTGATACGGTCCGTTTTCAAACAAACAGGAGATACAGAGCACTGCAAGCTCAGGGTTTGTTTGGATGTTGGTGGTCCTTTCTCTAATGAAACAAGAAAAGCCTTTTTGCCGAAGTATAATCCGTGACAGTCTTCATTATCAGCATAATTACAGAGCTCTTTCGGCCCAAAGAGGAGAGCACAATAGAACTGTGTTAACGTGGCACAAATAACTCGATCCTGGCACAAACATTTAAGCCCTTGTCACATTTCAAAAATTATAGGGAGAGAGCACACATACACCCATTAAACAATGGACTGTACATCAACGGCCACCCAGGACTACAACTACAGCGATCCAGCCTCCAATGAGCACAAACTGTACCAGCGTGCCCTTCCGATCTCCCCACCTGCTCAATGTTTTGCCTGTCCTCTTGCATTTGTTAAATCCTCATAAACCGTCCCCCATAAAGACGGCACACAGCCCACCTACCTCAAGCGCCTCTTGTTGCTTTAATTCTCTCTCTGCGCTCAAGTGGAAATAAATGTGTTTACCACCAGCGGGTCACACATGCTAATGAGCCACTGTTTGTTTTTGAGGAGGAATGGAATTCAGGATGAGATGGGAAAAGGGGTGAAAAATTATAAATGTGCCCCAATCCAAATATCTCCTTACGCTCCTAAAAATAAATGTTGTTTATTGGCATCAGTGCTTCCACAAAGAACCTTTATTATTCAGGGAACCTTTCTATTCCACAAGAGGTTCTTCATAGTGGTGGGAGCTGTTTATCTAGATTTAAGGAAAGCATTTGACACAGTAAATCACAAGGTTTTAATGAATAAGTTATCAAATTATAATTTGGATAAGATCATATCTATTTGATATGATAGATAGATATGACTGACAACAGTGTGTTCGAGTAGGCAATAAAATTTCACAATTACTCACTAATTCGGTTGGTGTACCTCAAGGTTCAATATTAGGTCCTTTGTTATTCAGTTTGTATATTAATGACTTGCCTGATGATTATGCACCTACTGTAAACTGTCAGATGTATGCTGATGATACAGTTATATACCTGCATGCTAAAAGTAAAAAGCAAGCTAAAGAAGAATTGTCAGCAGAAATGGTTAATATTACTAACTGCTTAAAAAAAATAATGTGTACATCTTAATGTTAGTAAAACTGCATGACAATATGATTAAATTTGCAGATATTTTACTTGTGTACAAAATTTTGCTCAGTATGGCCCCACCTCCTTCATTTGGACAGTTTTCAGTTTTTTATTTTTTTTGCAACCTCAGATTCCAGATATTCAAATAGATGTATCGCGGCCTAATATTGTCCTATCCTAACCATACATCAATAGAAAGCTTATTTATTCAGCTTTTAGATTATATATAAATCTCAATTTTGCAAAATTGACCCCCATGGCAGAAACAAGCTTTGACAATACAAGACTCATTCGTGTTGCCAGATCTTGCAGAAACCCCCCCCCCCCCCCCCCCCCCCCCCCTCCAGAAGAGGAGACTAGGGGTGCCCATAATAAACATAAACAAATCCAAATGATTTACATTGAAAATAAGACCAAAATATCACAACCTGCACCTGCCCAATTTAACTCCATAAACTTTATGAGTTCAAAACCTGAGTTCAAAAGCACTTATACATAAACAAATCCAAATGCTTTACATTGAAAATAAGACCAAAATCAGAATTTTTTACCGTACATTACTACCATATGTACAGTGTATATCAATTTGACATAGTCACCACTGACAAGCTATTTTTAAATATATTGTAGAAACTTAATTTTCTGTAAAGCTGCTTTGCAACGATTGTATTGTGAAAAGCGCTATACAAATAAACTTTAATTAAATTATACAATAGGTGGATATGGCAACACTTTAAGAAAGCAAACAAGTTGACTCTGTCAATGGTGGTTCAGTTAAAATTGCAGAACCTATTAAATCTTTGGTCAATATAATGTTACTTTGATCAAAAAGAGTGGATATTGCTATGGTTACCACGGAATCATCACAATTTTGAATTGTGTTGCATACAAACACTGAACAATAATTTAGGGGGATTCACTCCCGTATTAAAAGCAGCTGTCACTCCTGACACTTTACAGTGTGTGTCCTAAGAGATATATGAACTGTTTACTGAAAAGTTCTTTGGAGAACCTAAAATGCTTCTTATATGGCACTGCTGCGAAAGCTCCTTTTTGGAACTTTTATTTTTAAGCGTGCATCAAACACAAAAATACACATTAATGGAAAGCTTTGGCCTTTGTGCTGACCCATATAAGTAGTGTATTATGAAATGCCTTACTAAGACTCTCCTTGAGAATGATTCTAGGGAGGGTTTTTTCCCTTCTTTCCAGGAATCAAGCGAGCAGTCAGACTGCGGCAGACGAAGGCAAAGATTAGTAATCCTGTCATATCTGAAGTATATAACCAGGCTGACTGACTGTTGGCTAAACAACACGTTGCTATTTTAGTTATTGCACAAGTCGTGGGTCATTTCGATATCAAAGGCTTGTGATCAAGGGTTCCCCTCACAAAAACACTTCAAACACTACACTTTTAGTAAGATGGTCTGTACAGTTGCTGGGCCAATAAGTATTATGTTGTAGGGATGCATAGTGTTACACTCAGACTGCATTACACTAATGCAATTCACTCTGCAGCTAGGCGTGATTCATAATACTGGCATGATGACAAACCAAAGCACTGGAATAGAGTCCCTTCTAACCCAAAAAGGCTTTATAAAAATCACTCTGGAACTAATTGAATATTATGTTACTAGTCCAATGCAATAAATTAAAATTTAACCCACATATTTATTTGTAGAGACTTGGCCAAGTTGTATTCCGAGTTAATTTGTTAGTCTGACCAGCAGAGAGCGCCACAAAACAAAATTACAGCCTTCACCGCTGGACCAAAACAATTGATGGATGCAAGTAGATGTCAATTTGAGAGAGAGAGATAGAGAGAGAGAGAGAGAGAGAGAGAGAGAGAAGGAAATCCATCACTCACTTTGATTTCAAAATGCCAAGAAGCGGTGGTTGTTTTTGAACTTCAGGTTTGGAGTTTATAGCTCCTGTTTTATGCTGTAGTGCAGTGGTTCCCAATCCTGGTCCTGGAGAACCCCCAACACTGCACATTTTAGATGTCTCCCTATTCAAACACACCTGATTCAACTCATCAGCTCCTTGGTGAAGACTCCAAGACCTCAAATGTGAGTGTCAGATAAGAGAGACACCAAAAACGTGCGGTGTTGGGGGTTCTCCAGGACCAGGATTGGGAACCACCGCGTAGTGTGTTCAGTGCTGCAGTGGATTAATGCTGATGTTAATCACCACTTGACCATCAGACAAGCTGTATATAAACTCATAAAAAGACACTGTCATACATTTTTGTATTCTAGGCACGTAAGTAACTTTGATGGTGTTACGAATTCAACAAAAGGCAATAAGTTCAGCCAAATGTCACAATTTTGGATTAAAAATGATATTTCACAGCACAGAGAATGATATTAATGAATTCAGCATGAGCAAGGAATGTGAAAAGTGTAAGGAGAATCATCAGACTCTCTGGACAGGAACTCTGGATTTCAGTTATGACACTAGGAGGAAAAGTTTGTTCAGAAAAGAGAGAGAAAATAAAAAGAGAAAATAACAAAAAGACGTTAAAATGTAAAAATTTGTGACTGATGTTAAAAGAAATTACAAATTTTACTCAACACTAAGTGCCTCAAACTAATTATTAAAAAAAGGTTATGTTGCAAATCTTTCTTTGTCAGAAATGTTCACTGTAGCAGCTCAGTACCTTATGCTAATATTTCTGATGGACCGATTCCCATAAATTGCATTGCAGCCAGTCAATCAGTT